CACACCCTCACTGGGTTTGCATGTAACAAGAAGCTGCAACTTATCTCCCAATCATGCCCCAAATATTCAGAAAGCTCATGTCACTGCAACAAAGATCACCATGGGGAAATTCACCCACCGCAGCTTCTCATTACCTCAGAACCAGGCCATTGTGTTCAATGGGGCTTACTCTGAGATAAATATGCATAGGATTGCTCCAGGCTAACAGATGACCTTTCCTGTTGTGCTTCTACCCTCTACCTCAGTCACTAACAGTGGTCCCAACTCATCTTCCAGATCCTAGTTATGCCAGCAGTTTAATTGCCAAAAGAACTCAAATTCCTAGAAAAATTAGGTATAAAGCTCCCTGCACCTCCCACAGAAGGGCATTTAGTCACTCCCAAAGACAAGCATGCCTCATTCCTAAAAGGAAAAAGGGGCATCCCTCACTCCAAGCAAGAATATCCCAAATCTTTGGCAATGTCATATGACAGGCCACAGAACAGCACCTAAGAAAGACGCAAGTTATCCTCTGGGGGAAGTGACCAGCCATAAACACCTTTATGAAACTGAGGGCCATTTTGCCCACTGTCATATGGGTGAACTTCTAGGTTAAGAAAAGGAAAGATTACTTAGAACAGATTGCCATTTCCTCCCCGTTTGAATGTCCACGCTTGTACCTATCCCCTCGAGGGCCATCATCATCCTTGCTTGTACACTACAGCTCCTGAGCACAGTTTTCTGGAATCAAAATACAGAGGTTCCTGTTTGAAGGTTCAGCCCATTTAATGCTTGGGGTTTAAGTGGTGACTAAAAGCTGACTTGTCCCTGTAGTCAGTTTTTGTCCTTTACAGGAACAAAGAAATTTCAATTACTTGTTTCTGTACACGAGTTTTTCATTATAGCAAAATGTTAAGGGCTGGCTATTGATACTGAGACTTCCACTTTCAAGGCCCAGTTCCATAAATGGCTGAACACAAACATGTTATGCATGCAAAGTGCCCTAACTTCCTTATAATCTACACTGCTGTCAAGAAACATTCCTGCCTCAGAAACCTTCCTGCTTTGGTCTTTTTTAATTCAAGCATTTCTCTGTTGTAGAGCTACCTGAAAACAATGATTTGGTCGGCAGTCTCTTGTCTTCTCTTGTATTGCTGCAAACAAATACAGCAGTAATCTTGCTTGGGGTTGAGTCCTCTAGTCACAGATGCCTTCAAATTACGTAATGACCAGTGGAGATCATGGTTGAGCAGGCTAGTGGTCGTCTCCAAAAGGGTCTTGTCAAGAAAAAGAAGGTTAATACAATCACTTGATTTATTAACCATAATACAGAGATTCTATATGTGGCAAAGCATCTCGTCAGGAAGATTAATCAAAATAGGAAATAACACCTCTAGATACATACTATATGCTATCCTCACCTCTTTGACAACTCCAGCACTTACTTCTACACTGCCAACGGCAATTTTAACAGTTCTCTCTATTTTTGGTTATAACAGTAAAACAAGATCCTTTCATAAATAATTATTGCCATATCTCATCTGGGATTATCATCTATCTTCCTCTATTCCATTTAACACTGTATTTTTCTATATGTCTGCTTCTATTTATCAAAAATATTTCTCTTTTCTTAAACTCATTTCTCAAATTCCGTTTTGTCACAGTCAATATTTTTGATCAAAAAGAATCTATTGTAGAGCCACATGTTGTTGAAATAAGAAATAGGAAATAACAAGAGGTCCTATTTTTATGACAGTTACTTATTCATATGTTAAAATCACTATATTTTAACTAATATTTATTACATCCCTTTTCTTCCCAAAGGTCAAACCTCTCTCAATAGCTATCCCAAATTAAAATCTCAATCTTATAAATGACACAGGTGGGGAAATTTCTATATATGCATTAACCATAAATTTCTTACCTTCATAATATATTTTTAACATTCTAATATCCACAGAATTTCACTAACTTGTTTTCATAGCAGTTGTTTTTGCAAGGAAAACTATTAATTTTGTGATCCTTTAAACCAAACGATTTAGTATAAGCTATTATCCTAATAGTATCATTGTACCTTTAGGAAATCCAGATCACCTTTACTCAATAATTATCTGCTATTTTGTTATCGATCCTTGCACTCTTTCTTTCTGAACAGTTTTCATTGTCTTACACACTTAAACAGTGGCACCTCTTGGAATGAACCGTAGGGTTCAGGAAGGACTCCTCAGAAAAAAATGGACTGCCAACAGCAGCCATTTCTGCCACTGTTCCAGTCAAAAGACAGGACAAGGGCGGGCAGCCAGTTGCAATGACAGCCCGACCCTTGAAGCACATCATTTTAAATCAAACTATTTTCATTTGCTGATTTTGAGTGGCAGTGATTTGAATCAATGAGATGAAGCCTTCATGTGGGAGTGTATACAGCCAATCAGGACACCAGTGTGGTGGAAAGACCAACCCCTCCACTACTGCAGTATATCAGTGGTAGCACCCCACTTCCTAAATGACATGCCGTAGAGTTGCTACTGGCTGGCCACCACCACAACGGCACTTTATTTTGGTTGCAGAGCAGAACAGCACCAGGGGGCACCATTGCCACCACAAGTATTTAGCACTGTTCTGTTAGAAAAAGCAAGGAAGTGCTGAGAGTGATAAGCAGGGGGAACCTTGGACAGCATGTAGCCTAGAGCCTGCTTGAACCTGGCCACACTTCTCTTCCTGGAAGAGTTTTATCAGAGATTTTCTAATACACATTTTGAGAAGAACATTTTGAACATTTCTGTGTGATGTTACATTTTTCTTCAAATGTGCACTTTCCCAAATATTTCTGAAATGAGGTCTAGTCTTTTTAATAAGTTTCTACCATGGCCATCTAGCTGTGTGCCTAAACAGTGAACCTTCTTGCATGATTGCACAGCTTTTTGTAACAAGTTACCTCCTGCAATATTTTCTCTTTTAATAACAAAAGGCATCACCCAACTCATTTTAATTTATCTTCTAGCCTGCAGCCTATTCATATTTTGTACTGATTTACTTAACACGGCTCACATAAAGTACTATGTAATCTTCACAAAATCCTATTTTATGTTCTCTTGTTCTAATTTTAACTCCTTTGAATGCAATCAGATGTAATTATCTGACAATAAGGGGGCAATTCTATATATATGTTTATACAGTACAGAAAAAGTCCTACAACTCCCAGCATTCACCATCCAACCACAAGTTTAATTTTATTCAAAAACACTTACTCCTGAATAGCAAAGAAGTAAAAACTAATGCAGATAGTGGGCATTCTTGTCTGGTATTCTATTCTTTTTTATTTTCTATTTTATTTTATTTTCCTTGGCTCCAAGACAGGGACTGCAGCCAAGACATTAGAAGACGCTTGCTCCTGGGGAGGAAAGCTATGGCAAATCTAGACAGCATACTAAAAAGCAGAGACATCACCCTGCCAACAAAAGTCAAGGCTAGTATAGTCAAGGCTATGGTTTTCCCAGTTGCAATGTATAGCTGTGAAAGCTGGACCATAAGGAAGGCTGAGCGCCAAAGAATTGAGGCCTTTGAATTGTGGTGCTGGAGGAGACTCCTGCAAGTCCCTTGGACTGCAAGGCAATCAAACCAGTCAGTGCTAGAGGAGATCAACCCTGACTGCTCTTTAGAAGGCTAGATAGTGAAGATGAAACTCAAATACTTTGGCCACCTAATGAGAAGGAGGGACTCAATGGAGAAGAGCCTAATGCTGGGTACAATAGATGGCAAAAGAAGAAGGGGATGGCAGAGAATGAGGTGGCTGGATGGAGTCACTGAAGCAGTCGGTGTGAGCTTAAGTGGACTCCGGGGGATGGTGGAGGACAGGAAGGCCTGGAGGAATGTTGTCCATGGGGTTGCAATGGGTTGGACACGACTTCGTGACCAACAACAACAACATTATATTCTTTAAATGAAAACAAAACAAAACAGAATTATAACCATTAACTACCATGAATGTGCCAGGGCAGAGATGAAAAACTTTTTTTAGCTTTTGGGTTGATTTCCAATTTGGGGTAAGTTTCAGAAATTTCATTCTAGCAGTGACTAAGGCAAAGGGCAAGAAACAGTGTATCCATGAATCCAAGTGTTTCCTCCCTAGGAAAAAATAACTGAAAACTACTGACATTAATTAACTTTAGCAGGTCATTTATTTCAACAGAGTTCAACTGTCTTCCAGTGAGATAGTTGGGGCACCTCCAGTTTTGCTGTCACTATTTGTTAGCTCCATTTCACTGAAACTTACGTAAACTTCAGCCATGTATAATATATGTAATATCTCACTACCTAAGGACATTATTTATGAACGGAAAGAGAAAGCAAGTGGGCAAGGATAGGGAATCCCAGAGGCTCAGGAGCAGAAGTCTCTGTGGGTCAGAGGATCCTGCATCAGACTTTCAATCAATTAGTTCAATCCATTCATTATGTATCACAAAAATTCAATGCTTTAATTTATTATTGAAAATAAAGCAACCCTAATCTGTTGCGGCTTCCTTCAATGTCTTTCCTGGACCATTCTATGACTACACTAATCATTTGAAATAAGTGAAGAACATGTTCATGAAATCTGCAAAACTGGCAAACATGTGACACAGTACAGCATTTATGATCAAGACAATCTTGGACAAACAGAGCGGAAAAGAACTCTAAGCCAGAAAATAAAGTTCAAGAAATGTAATGGGCAATATTAAATCTTAAAAACAAACACAAATGTAATAAATCAACTTTGCTATTTATTGCTTTTTGAGTGACCAAAATGTTTTAGATACTTTCCTTGAGTAAGCCCTACAATAGCCTGTCAAGGCAACCCAGTGCTATAGCTACGCTGCAGATGATGGGGTGAATACAGGGAGGGCTGAGGTTAACAGATTATCCTAAGAGAGGGTGGGTTCATGGGTGCTCACATTACATATGTGTAGCATTCAAGCTAGTCCAGCTGTTCCTGCATTGAAATTTCACATTTTGGGAAGGATGTAATTATTTATCAATCACAATGATAGGTTGACCTTTTCCAAGGAAGTTCAGGCAGGCTCACAGGGTTAGCCCTTATTTATTGGTACAACCACACTGGCCTAGCACACATATGACACCATCTAACCTACTGAATGGTTTGGCAATCAGAAGCACCTCATGGTCTTCCAAGCTACTCTCTCCATGCCCTCCTTCTCAGTCAGGGATTCCCCCACCCTTTCCAGTTTTGGAGACACCCGTCTGCGTCACAAATTCACCGATATTTTTATTAATCACAGCTAATTGCAAACTATTTTGAAACCAGCTCAGAAGCAGGCTTGCGTATTGTAGACTGATGCTAACATACAAAAAGCTTTACTAGTAAAACATTTTTTATAGACAGGGAACACAGGCCAAGAAGCAATGACTAATCTAATTAAATCAATTCAAAAATGATAAGGTGGACAAGTTGGTGTGGGAACAGAAAAGAATCTTTGTTAATAATTGCTAATACTATAAAGAACAGGCTGAGGAAGATAGCGGGAAGCAAAACTAGAACAGGAGAAATACACAGCAGTTTAGTTGGCGGTAGAACAGGGATCACAAAGAAGCTTTGAATAAACTATCAGTGTCTTTTTGTACTGGTTTCAGTTGCTCTGGCAATATGCTCATTGGTGCAAGGCAGTACAAGAAAGATGACTCCCAAAACACTATTCTTCTATAATCTTGGCTTATTCCTAGTTAGGGCATATTAAATGAACAGTAATATGGACTAACATACACTTAAACAGCAGCTGCACAGACAGTGAGAGTGACCTCAGGATGCAATATCTGCATGTTTCTATTTTGTATTCATCATTCCCTCTATTTCCAGCTTTCACAGGGGAAAAAATGAAAGCTGGAGGAAATTTAAAAAAAAAAGTCCAATGAGGACTGAGCATGCTCAGTGGATACAGAATGATGAAAGCTTGTTAGGGAAGAGAAGATAAAATTCAGCGGAAGGAGGTGAAATGGAACAGAAAAAGGCATGGATGGCTCACTGGAATACTGTGAACTGCCTAGAGAACATCAGCTATTGGGTGTTACAAAAATGTAATAAGCAAACAAACATAAACACTCTGTACAGTGACATTTTGCACCAGCTTCCACTTGGGTCTATACAATATGCAAATGCCATCCATGCACAACAAAGTGCATGTTCAAAGGCATGTTTGGTGGGAACCAATGGGGGGCCTTCTTGACAGCCATTCCCATGCTGTGGAACTTCCGACCAAGAGAGGCTTTTAGCTTGTCCCTCCCT